AGAACATCGACTAACTGCACTGTAAGCATTTCCTAAATGTCGACATGTGTGTAAAATGTGAAACGATGATTGCAAGGCACACAACACACAACGAACAGGAAAGAGGATTTGTTCAGAACTGTGTTCTTGTTACATTCATCAGTTCATTTCATTCATTTTATTTGTCCATATAAGATCTGTTTCAAGTAGTCCTCATTCCATTGTTACGCAGATTCACTAATGAATGTAACAAGACAACAACAGTTCTGAACAAATCCTCTCTTTCCCTTTCGTTATGTGCCTTGCGATCATCGTTTCACATTTTACTCATACATATCGACATTTAGGAAACGCTTACACTATAAGTTACAGTGACGTCCTTGCTGCTATATTAAGACGTAGTGTTTCTGTAAACCGCCCAATATTTGCGTCACTAAATTTTTGCGATTTCTCAGAACCAGCGAGTTTACGATCGCAAATTTTCGTGGAACACTGTGGCCCGTTGCTGAAGTTTGATTTCACGATGGTTAATATTCGTGTTATGCTCTTCTCACAAAATTAGCAAACATTTAAAAATACATCGCAAACATTAGGCAGTTTACAGTAACATGACAAATCTCCCCGTAGTGTGTAATGGGCACTGCCTTGCACTAGTCTGCAACATTTAGTGATCAACATTGTGCAAAAGTGCGAATTGTGAGGAAAGTGTAAGAGAGAAATAAGAACAAACGGGGACAATATAGCGTTCATAACTGGTTTCCACGTGACAAGCATGAGTTTCTTGAACCTTATTGTGTTGGTCTTCTTCTTCTTGTGTTGTTCAACCCTTAGCTGATGGAGTTCGTGTGAAGACGCTTTCAGATCTACGGTTTTTGATCCCCTTTCTCTTTGGTGCTTATGTAAGTGTGGATTAAGGCATGTATTGATGGCAGGGTTCTAGCCAGGTCAAAATAGTAGGGGGGGGGGGGGGGGGCATGGGCAACAGTTACCCTCTACTGTATCAGCAGAAAAATTCGTCTGGAATTTAATTTCGTCTTTTTCGTCCAAGGAGCTTTTGGACTAAATTAAATGTAGGACTAATGTCGATTTGCCCACCTTTCCTATACACTCTTATGATCCATGGACGAAATTTTCAACCGGACGAACTCCTTTTCTTTGGAGTTGGACGAAATTATTGACCGACGAAATTTTCTGCCTCTACAGTATCCCATTTTTCCACTTTCCAATATTGTCTTGCCACGCCAAATGCAACGTATGGGGTGAATCCCTGACTTCACCCCAGACAAATGTGCCTTTATGAACCATCTACGCATGAAAAACACGAAAATCGGAAAATGAGTAGGGGGCGCGCAAACAGAGTAGGGGGCGCTGCCCCTACCCCCCTTTGGCTAGAACCCTGGATGGTGTTCAGCAGAGTCAAGTACTACTTTATCTCTCCGTTTCTTCTCCGTTTGCGTCTTTCCCTATTCTAGTGGGTTTCAACAACATAGATGTGCATAGATTTTCCCAATTTCAACAAAGTTTTCAAGTTAGTCTTCGGGTGGTGTTTCAATGCCATCAAGCTTGTCTTCCGTTCACAGTCCAGGTCACGCACTTGTCATCACTGGAAACGAAATTCATTATCCAGGCAGGCTTTAATGCCTTGTTTTACATAGGGCTGAAACGAATGCTGAATGAAGCGAACGAATATTCTTTTGTCCGAGTACACGTGGAACGAAGAATATTCCGAATATTCTAAACCATGCAATATCCATGGATACCTAGTTGTATGCATGGCAACCATAGGCCATCAATTTCTGGCTACCTCATATACAAGAGAGATTTTTGAAAAGGACATTATTACCATTTGTCTTGCTGATGATAACACACGGGACGAGACAAGCCTACTCATATTCTGCACCAGAGAAGCCTTTTCGATATCAAAAAGGCGAGTTTCTGTACATTTACGAATATTCTTATTCCACATACTGTAGCGTCGTGTATAAAAGCATGACTCAAATAGAAGCCGATTTTTCGAAGCGCGCTGTTGTGAACCCTTCATATTCTCTAAAAGTCAGGAAGGAACGACCACACGGCACGAGGACAACTATTTACTTTTGACAGTATATTTCACTTCGATCGACTATAGCAATAAAGAATAACACTAAAACCCACCAGGTAGTTATAGCGTGAAAATGACAGCGTATATGAGAAAAGCATACACATACAACATACAACTACAGCGCACGCAGCAAACCGCACATAGCGCCTGTAGCGTTACCACGTCGTAAACATCAGCGGTACGGCAGAGTCGGGATACAACTGCATTGAAACGATCACAATGTCACAAGCGAGAAGGCCTTTCACTCTCGAGAACTTGTGGTTTCGCAACATTCTCCCCACCAAAGGGCTTCTCACCGTCGTACCACAACTAGGGGCGAGTAGGCACTCTGACGACGCCTCATCTGCTGCTACGGTGGTGGCCATGGTGGAATATTACTGCCAACTGAGCAATGGTCTGCGGACTTGCGCACTTCAGATCAAGCTCTAACGTTGGCTTCACGAGAGCACATACCGGAATGACGGCGGAGCTACCCAGGATCGTGATGGCGAACTTGTCCATCCGCTGTTGGGTTGATTCCACACCGAACGGCTTCACCTCAACATTCTCAACACCAACGTGCTCTGCATCGATTGCGGACACCAATGCTGCAGTCACAAATGACGCCTTGGTACCTGAGTCCAGCAACACGCGAAGCTTGCCGCTGTGGAATGTCACACACGAAACGGTTACCGGTCCACTTCGACGTGGGGCGGACGCTGGACCAGACAACACACAACCGATACTTTCACCAAGCTTGCAGATCTGGGCTGTCACACACGACACGGTCACTGGGCCACTGCCTCGTGGGGCGGACGCTGGACCAGGTAACATACATCCGATCTCCGTGTTCCACACAGTCTCGCCGCTCACTTCTTTCGTGCTAACCAGCATCGCCCTTCTCATTTCCCTAGCTTCTACGCCTTGCGCCTCTACGTCTTGCGCCTCTACGTCTTGCGCCTCTACCTCTTGCGCCTCTACGTCTTGCGCATCTACGTCCTGCGCCTCTACGTCTTGCGCTTCTACGTCTTGCGCCTCTACGTCCTTCGGCCGAGACTCCAGCTGCTTCTGAGCGTCTCCGACCGATGTCGCCATGCACTGCGCCGACGCAGTGGGCCTTGGCACGGATGGTTCTACTGGCTTCCTGGCAGCATCACCCTGTCGTCCGTGCGCTACCTGGTAAGACGCGCCGTGCTCCTGTACCTGGCGCAGAGACATCCCGTAGCACTGCCGTTCGACCAGGTACGTCTTCATCTCAGGTCCGCATTGATCCAAGATTACCTGCTTTGCCATTGCAGCACAGGGGCCATTTTACCGATATCAACGCTGTACTTGGTGTCCACCTCGCTATCTTCCGTCATTGCGAGTGTGGCCCACACCTCTACCTCTCGGCAAACACGGACAACGTATTGGTGAAAAGACTCATCGGACCGCTGCTTGCCTGTCAGCAATGTCTTCCACGCTTTATCCGGAGTCTTTCCGAGCGAGGCATGCAACTCTCGCTTTGCTTCCTCGTAATTATTGCATCCAATACATATCCTCTCCGCTTTGCTACCCGCTAGCGCGATGCGCAATCGCAGCAGCCATTCGCTTTCTTCGAACTCGTTCTTGGAACAGATGTCCTCGAATAGGTCAAGATAACGCTCCAATGGCTGCGTTCCATCATATGAGGGGATTTTCATCAACGGTTTATGCCCACCGCTGTGACTGGGAGCTTCCGCTGTACCTCCCATCGCACTCTCACTGGCGGCTTTACCATCACCCTCATACCCGTTGGCGATGCGCTCGTTAATCTCCTTGAGCGTTTTTTCAAACTCGGTTCGGAGTGCCTCCTCTCGCCGTCTGGCACTGCGCTCCTCACGCTCATCGTACTGTGGTCGCCAAATGTTGTGAACCCTTCAGATTCTCTAAAAGTCAGGAACGAACGACCACACGGCACGAGGACAACTATTTACTCTTGACAGTAAACTGCATTGAAACGAACACAATGTGACAAGCGAGAAGGCCTTTCACTCTCGAGAACTTGTGGTTTCGCAACACGCGCCGTGACACAGGAGCACGATTTGAATAGAAGCCGCTCTCTGCAAAGTACATGTACAAGTACATGTGTGCCACTGGGCACTGCACAGTGTAGACTGATGATGTTGACATAGAAGCATAACTTGACTAAAAGCATCGTTTGAACCCTGGCTTATACGGCCGTAAGCACCTGCTTTTATACGCGACATTACGGTAAACGAAGAATATTATTGTTCCGGTCTGCATACTTCGAATATTCCTTTCAGCCCTAGTTTTACAAGTACCGGTATGTGGTCAATGAGGTTCTAGGCAAGAGGACTATTTATAGAGCAGTGATTAGTATTAGTGAGGCAGGCATTAAACGTAACAAAATACTATTTTTGTTGCACACATCGAAATGAGAACTGTAGCTGATCTTGTCCTAAGCCACATGATTGTATACTGTTGTCTCGTACTAGGGGTGAAACGAGTATCTATTTTGACCAATCGATCACTCGTTCATAATATTCGATCGAGTATCCGATTATTTCGAGTATTTTATCAAAATTCAAAAGCACTAGATTTGCGAGTTCTCGACCAATTCGGAAGAAATTATCTGTTAACATAGAACAAAAGTCGCCGTCTTGTACAGAGCGTAAAGTAACGATTTTCATCAGTACTTTCATATCTCAGAACGTTACTTGCCGTGGTGATCGCATCGTCCAAGTCTTAAAATACTGACTCAAAGCCATGCATAACGCATGCATACCAGTGGACCAGCGGTACAACAACAGTTTTTGAAAAATACGATGCCAATACTAAAAAAATAAATCAATAAAAAAACCGATCGAGTGCAAAATTTCGAATACTCGCTCGTTTGAAATTTTCGAACGAATACTCGAATATTCGAACTAATCGTTTCACCCCTATCTCGTACCCTACCCAAAGTCTGTGAAGTTTTAAACTAGCATGTTCACCACCTGGTGTGAGTCACTGGATGTAAAGATTAGTTCTATGGTTGTTTAGCTGGTTGTCTCTTTGCCCTGCTATGTTGTGTGTAGATCTTCCAGTTTTACAATGCCTATGTGCTGATCACACTCTGGCAGTACACTCCGAGTGCGACATTCCATGTAAGAAACAAACCATGTCATGCTGCTGTATATGATGCTTAGCCTTTTCGGAAGAACCATTGGAATCGGTCTCCGAATTCTGTATTGGAGATTTTGTTTGCTGGTGTGGTGAACAACGTTAACTGGATAGCACAGTGAGAGTTAGAAGCATTATTGAACGTGACAGGACAAAAACTGCTGCTTACCCTTGTTCACATGACCCGATGCAACGAAAAGCTTACACTCATTTCCCCATGTTTATGCTGATCTTCCAGGTGTTGTCCTATTCGCCTAACCTCAGCCCAGTTGACACGACACGTATAGCTGTAGCTGTGCCTAGGGAGATTCAATCTCTGAAGAATGCAGCGCTACTGCATGTTGACTGCATAGCACTGTACTCATAGTCGTAGGACCATGCAACCCCCGAGTCAGATCTCTTTACCGCAAATGCAGTCCAGTCGTGCAACCAACTCCGTGCAATGATGTGTAGGGTATTGCCTTTTTGGGAGAGCTGTCTTCCTCAAAGTTGACATCTTCCTCGTGTTGCTGCTGTCTTTTTTTTCTCACTGCACAGGTGGTATCCTGTGGAGTGTTATTCGCTATTGTGGGTACCGGCAACCTAGCAACGACACTCATGGTGCTCTGGACCAAGTACAAGCAAACAAAGAAAGCTTGAGCTGTACACCCAGTGACTTTCCATTTGTATAGCAGTGGTATGGGTGTCTCTCCCAGACATCAGATTCACTGGTGTGTGCCTCTTCCCTGTATTTTCAACCTCTGTGCCGTAACCCGTACAGTACACAGTGCACAGTTGGGCGGAACTTTTCTTGGCAGGAGGCCGAGGAGGGTGTTTGCTGTGAATCCAACACGGATTGCTCCTACAATGTTTTGAATCAGTGACTTCAGTGTTGATGGATGTTCATCGATGCTTTCCTTTCTCATCAATGGTGACCTTACATTATAGGCACTGCTTTCTTGTTTTGTCACATCGTTAAAATATTCCATCCGTCTATTTTAAAAAAAAATATTTTTGTCCATACCATCCATGGACACGTCATCGATTTCGACAAGTAGGTATTTCTATTAATAGTATTATCCTTTTAAAGATATGCATGCACACTGGACATGATGATAAAGTCAGTCACTACTAAAACGTACAACACAGTTCTTTCTTTCATTACCATTGAAGTCTTTAGAAAGAGTCAAAGTCTTGCTATGACTACTTCACATACTCCCATCTCTGAAAGTGCAGGGTAAAACCGGGTACATGTATATAAACCTGAAGCGGCTATCTGATAAATTGATAATAGTAAAAATATAAACAAACTTTGAAGTACATGATTGTACAAACACGCACGGTATGTGCTATTCATTAGCTCCAAGACGGAATGAATACTTGCGTAAGTCACCCTACCGCAGTGTCAGTGGAACAAAGGTGGTATGTGAGCGAATAACGGAACAAAACAACCCGAGCCAGCAGGTAAGTCAAGTACGCAGTAGCAGCAGCAGTGGAAAATAGCAGCAATATACAACAGAGCAGGGCCAGACAACAGGATAGATGGGGAAAAGACCAAGATAGATACCGGTTGGTGTCATCAAGTTTACAAATACAGCATACATCACTGTATGCGGCCGTAGTCATAGTCCCTACACTGCTACTTATGATTTACCACTGGGGACAGGGCTGAGCGGTGCTGGTTCTTCCTGATACAGCTGAGACAGAGCTACAACAACTTTCTGGAGAGTGCTGTTTCCACCTAATGCTTCAATTTCCGACAACACACTGTAAGGATGACAAAAGCAGCAACAAAAGCAAGATGACACTGTCACAGACAACACTGGCAAGCAGACATGGTGGTCCAGGGAGTAAACAATAACAAGTTAACAACATAGGCGATCACCTCCCCCCCCAATGAAATGGTGACGAGAAAATCATCGATACTTTCGAGTCCTGGTGGTGACAGTCAATTTTTTCTTCAGACTTTTCCCGTTTGCATCTTTGCCTCAAACCAGTGAATACTTTCAAACAACTGCATCATGAATAAAGGCATGCACTCTCACAGCTAAGGAGCCATCCGTAAATACCGATATTTATTTAGAAACGAAAACTAGTCGTTTCTCTTCAACCCCCACCCCCCTCCCTCAGAAACGAACACATACAAATGATGCATAGTATCGATATTTTTTTTCTTTTCTGGACGTGCCCACACATACAAGCTAGCTAGCTGTGCATCGATATGTTTCGAGAAACGAACAGGCGCTCAATCCCCCCCCCCCCCTAAGCGACTAGTTTTCGTTTCTAAATAAATATCTATATTTACGGATGGCCCCTAAGTTCTAACGACTTACTCTTTTTCAAGAGCAAGGAGAACCTGACGTGTGTAGACGAACGAGCCCATCTGCAGAACACGTACACACACACGCGCAAACACAGAATGGTAACAATTAAATGTAGACAAATTATGAAAGAATATGCTGCAACCGTGTAGATACAGCAACAGAACAACAGCAACAGTATCGTAAGCAACTACATGACAATGCACAGCAGTCAAGCAAGCAGATCATGCTCATACACAGTAAATCAACGGGCCTAAAAAGCTTTACTCGCTCAATACATGAGTCGAGCACTAGTACCGTAAAGTACCATTAATCCGCCCCCCCCCCCCCCCCCCCCACGCCAAGTCGCTTCCCTGCTTGTTTTTCATGGGGGGGGGGGGGGGGGGGATTCGATCAAGGCTGTTTGGTGCAGTGTCGTTGTACGACAATGCGGTGTTGTATCTTTCAGACGCAAACAGGTGAGAAAGGTCAAACTCGACGTACACATTCACACAGACTCTCACCCGAATGTTTGTTTGCGCACTAGAAAGTAGTACGAGGTTGGCTGTATGCATATGGACATGAGTACAGAAAGACGCATAATTTCTCTACCGTATAATTCTGAAGTCGCTTCAGAGACAGAAAATCGAGGGGGGGGGGGGGGAATTAGAGTGGGGGTGGATCAACGGTACTTTACGGTGTAGTCCCCGTTAAAAAACGGACGGAGTACGCCATACACACACACACTTTTTTCGAAATCTATTTTTAAACATGTACGACAAATTAAGTATGTGGGTAGAAAGCTGGTGGAAAATGCGCTTACCTTGTGTAGCAGATTCACGCAATACTTCTTAACATCTAGATCAGTTGTTTTCCGCCGGACAATACCTACAAAAGCTCTGGTCAAGGAAAAAAAACTACCCGTTCTTCTTACTTTGAAGTACATGTACGAGTCGTACAAGAAATCATAGAGAACTGCCGGTGGCTGGACGAGAGACAAGAAGACAAAACTAAAGGACCACCCAGTAGCAGAAAACCCAGTCAATATAGAATCAAAGAACCAGGTGACAAGATTGAGTATCCTGACCTCTGGGCTCTTTCACTCTGCCTGCTCTGGCTACACTGTTCTCACAACCGATACAGTACCAAAAACAGCAAGAGAGATTAACGAGAGAGCTTGGAAGCTCAGGGCCCTAGGCTATGCTTTTTTGCCTTGATGACCTAGACAAAAAAAGCATAGGGATGTTATAAATTCTTTAAAAAATTCCTTTTTTTTTAAGACATAACCTGCGATTCGAACCCGCACTATCGCGCGCCCTGCATGCTTCGCCCGATACACTTCGCATACATACTAATTCTTCCAAGTTGCTTCACATTGTGATCTTGCATTTGAAAGCCCTATTTGAATATGCATTGTGGCCAGCCGTCTTTGATGGCACGGTACGGTAGGGGATAGGTACGGGACAGGTACGATCGAGGGTAATACGACACCGTCTCCCGTACCGTACCGTACCGTACCAAACACAGCTGGCCACATACAGCTGCCCGCAATATTCAAAATAGGGCTTTCAAACGCAAGATCATAACGTGAAGCAACTTGGAAGAATGGGTATGAATGCGAAGTGTATGGGGGAATGCATGTAGGGCGATAGTGCGGCTTGGAATCCCAGGATATGCCTGAAAAAATTGGAGAATTGAAAAACTTATGACATCCCTATGCTTTTTTTCCCGTAAGATACGGATAGCGCCAGGCGTGACACAAACAAACAAACAAACACACAAATACCAAATTAAAGCTGTGTGGACCCTGGCTAGCGCCAGACGTTACTGAAGTAACGTCTTCTGCATAGCTACGGGAATAATTAATTGAGAGTGACCCGCCACCATCGAATGCTCATACGGACGGACACATGCACACACATCGTGATAAGCAGAAGATAAAACATAAGGGCAAGGATACTCAACAGCTGTGAGTCTTCAGGTCGAGTGTTGATGCCATGAATGATCGGGAATGAGAACTTCCCTTCAGTCAGATCTTCACAGAAACTCTTGTTGTCAGAGTACTGCAAACGGCCAAGGAAAGCACCAACACATACTTCTAAGACAAAAATGATCAAACAACAACAAGGAGCAACACTGACTTGGAGTACACATAAACACCTAGAGTAGAACCCGGGTTAAGGGTCCACCTAACTCTGCGCGGACATAGCTGGACTCAGTTGTACAGGGACGGGCAAAAGGTGTGCAAAACGACTTCTTGTGAGTAGATGGACCTCGGAAAAATAGTTTGGAGCTAAAAAAGTTACGGCTTCCTCGGAAACCGACGGGGGACCCCACCCCCACCCCCCCTTGGGCCGGAAATTTAATCCCGGTATAAGGATCACCCGCACAATGTAGATGCCAAGTGCCCCCCCCCCCCCCCCCCGGCTCCGAAGGATCACCGGTGCACCACTCACACAATGTACGTGCCAAGTGCCCCCCCCCCCCCCCCCCCGGGGCTACGATCCCTAATCCGGTGTGACCCTTAACCCGGGTTCTACTCTACAAGTTTTTTTCAGACTTTTGCCATTTGCACCTTTCCCTCAAACAAATGAATACATACAAGTATGATACTGTAAATCTAAAATAGTTTGTATGCGAATACTTGTACATGTAGTTTGTATGCAAATACTTGTACATGTAGTTTCGTACGTTTTCGTCTAAAGCCCAATCACAAGCGCGACAGTATCGTACGTGCAAACTGTCCACCACCCACCTGTACAGTCATAATGAACTGGGTACGTAGTAAAATGAGTGCTTGTTTTCATCCATATACAGAATTCGCATATGAAATATACGAAATTGAAAAGAAAGAAAAGAGCATAGGCATATCCTGATTTACAGTACATGTATTACATACAATTGTATCCTGCTATCGGGAGTCTGAGACTGGTATCTAATCCTGCTGGGGAAAGTCATTGGCCCATGACCATCATCAGCACGCACACACCAGTACCAATTCTGATGGAGTCCATTCTCATCAACATAGAAACAACAAAGCACCAATGCTGCATGTGTGTTAGTGCTTGCACAAGTGGAGCCGCAACGGTCAAAAACAACAACACATCCGGTGGCTATCCATCTAAACCGAGATTCAACTCACCTCTCTTGACATCAAGTTGGCGTAATCATCACGGATTTGAAAGAAGAGACCGAGCTTGTCTAGGAATGGACCAAAATTGCTGCACCACAACACACAGAAAGACGAGAATGGCCGTGTCAATGCTGTGCTCTGGTGCTACATGATACAATCCAGGCACAGGAGATTGCCAGGTGAAACGGATGGAAAGCTAAGGATTCGATGGCAATGCAATCAAGGCAAATTTCACCATGGGTGGGCAGACACAAAGTTCTGATTCTGTTCTATGCCCAGGTGGAATTCTTCTTGTACTCAGTGGTGCAATCCAGGCTGATAAAGATAGGAAACAGAGTGGGTCTACCAGATAGAATTGAAAAATTTGTTAAAGCGCACATGCATAGCTAACTAGTCACCAAAAAAGGGCCTCGTACACATCTACGGGACTGTGTAGATCTGTACCACATGCAAGAGTCAACCACCCCGTCCTAATTTAGCCCTAGCTATTTGAGGGAAGCTTGCCAGTGCTGATTTTATCTATTAAGGTACATTTTTTTGTCTCAGGCTCAAAATTTAATTATGACCAGTCCGAGTCACCACAGAACTGCCATGGTAAGCCAATATCAACACCAAAGGACAGAGCATGTAGCATGGCATGCACATATCTTAGTCTAACAAGTAACAATTTCTTACGTGGTGTTTTCACTGAACAACTGCAATAGTCCAACAGCCAAGCGGAACAGCCCGCCGGTCTCTGTAGAAGCAGGTGAGCAGCATTAACATCACACAAGCACACACTACACATGAGAGTCAGGGCCGGGTACACTTGTTGAGGCATTACCCCAGCAAGCACCAACAGTAGGACGGGTTATGGATGGCAGGCACAGCACTCAACACGGTGTACTGCACACAACACTGAGGTGCACACAGGTACAGGACTTGCTTAAGATAAGTAAAGATAATCATTCATCTACAGTGCGGTAGCCGAGTTGAACTACCAATGAGCTAATGATACGATGCAACAGAAACACAGCGCAAAGAATCACACATGAACATGCCAGCCCATACTTCCTGGGGTCGATCAATCAAATATTACAACATACTCAAATATACTTGTAGGAAGCAATTGATAGACTAGAATGGTAGTCTGGCCTGCAAACATTGCAGCCTCCTGATGATGTACTTGTAGTAAGAAACTTTGAGAAGAGACGGACTGATGTTTCCCACTAGACCCTATGCATGTGACTAGAATTGAACATAAAAACAAGAAATGTGCACCAAGTCACTGTATCAATGTATCTAATGACTAAATGCACATCAGGCCTTTTCCAAGTAGCTACATGTACATGCTATTGCAAGGTACCCCACTACCCTGCCAACATGCTTGCGAAGTGCGTAACGTACTCTGAATGACCATGATCCGGTATTCTTCCTCGGACGGGCACACGCTGGCATCTCGCCAGTAGATGTCCTTGCCCTGGCCGCGGTGCAGCTCCAGCATCTGAGTGGTGAATACATCCACTGCTTTGGCATGCAAGCTTACAGCCTGCTGCATGGCCACAAAGTACATGTAGTTGGCAGTGTTGATGGTCTGGGCAACACCAAACACACTGTGCGTCACTGCAAGAAACCAATCAAGCGAAGAACAACAGCAGCAGAAGCAGCAAAAAAACAACAAACACAACACCATTAAAATGATTATAGCGAGCAGGAGGCAGTGTAGCAGTCATTGACGTGATCGTAGTGCTTGTATAGAAGACAAGAGTTTACAGAAACCTGGACACTTGATCATATACACGTGATATGTGACCCAAATCAACAGGAAGCACAGTTTGATCTACCTGGTATGCCACGTCGCAGTACAGAGTTATCTTCGATGTCATCAATCCTAAGAAAGCAACCACATAACAACAACAAAAAACAGCACCGGCTTGCATGGCTCGGATAAGAGTCAGTCAGATGGACTTTCCTGTGTCCATAAGGACAGCGGCCATCCTCAGTTTCCCGTGTCAACAAGGACAGCGGCCATCCTCAGTTTCCCATGTCAACAAGGACAGCAACCATTCTCACTTTACATTTTACGTGGAATAGTCAATGCTGCTCAATGAAATCTGATTGTGTGAGTCAAGTTCGCGCCCTACACCATTTTGAAGTCCAGTGTTCACAGGTCTAGGAATGCAGAGCGCCCGGCGCATGCTTGACCCACGCGACCGTATCTCATTGAGCAGCACTGTATATACCATAAGCTTAGTCCAAACTCCCACCACACGCGCCCTTCAGCCTCCAGGAAGCGCATGCCTCCGGCCTCGATAATTCGTGAACGAGGTCGGCCGGAGAACGACCGTGGTGGGAACTGTGGACTAAACGAATGACAAACTGGCCGAAAGCTGTTGCTTACCCCCTCCTGGCTATCACATAATATGTTACTAGTATTACATGTACATTATACATACCAAATATGCAGCATTCAAGACCAGGGCGAACGCTCTACTTCTGGGCTTGTCAGATATCACATGTTCGATCGCACACCAAAATACGTGTGCATGTAACATGGCTGCATGTAGCTCTATATGCACTTCGACCAGTAAACAAAAACAAAAACAAAAGCTTGATGAGCTATGAATGGCACTAAAGGTCGTAGTAAAGGAGCATTCTATTACCATCCTAAGCATCTTACATTAAGCTGGCATTGTGCAGCATTTGAACAATTTTCTTCACAGATTCCAGGCGATCCTTAGGTATGTCTAACCAGTAGTCAAACGCCTGTAGAACACGAAACAATGCAAAGGGCCGACATCAATGGGGAATTTAAAGGGGAAGTTAAGGCAAAAATTAAAATTTCACCAGTTGTAGTCTTCGGGGTGCTGAGTCGAATGGTCTTGGTCCGAGAAAGCTGAGACGCTCCCTTCCTACTTGAATCCCAATCGAACTCGCGCACTTCCACCAAAACTGGGTGACTGCGCCCTACTAGATGGGGATTTGTATGCAAAATGTCACTAAAAGCGCCATTTCGTTCTTATAAAAGCACGGATGACCGCGATTGGCCCATATGTTGTAGTCTTTTGGACGCTGAGTCGACTGGTTTTGGTCCGAAAAGGCTGCGATGCAGCGTTCCTCCCTTATTCCCAATCGAACATGGTTGAACAAGCGGTCACGTGCTCCTGAGTACACCAGTCAGCTGGTCACCGTGCCTGCAGGGTACAACTTACTAGCCTGTTTGACCTTTTTTGGGTGCAGTCCTGTCTCTCGAGTTGAACCTTGGTGTGAAAGTTGTCGCCTGCTGGCACGGTGACCAGCTGACTGGTGTACTCAGGAGCACGTGACCACGTGTTCAACCATGTTCGATTGGGAATAAAGGAGGAACGCTGCATCGCAGCCTTTTCGGACCAAAACCAGTCGACTCAGCGTCCAAAAGACTACAACATATGGGCCAATCGCGGTCATCCGTGCTTTTATAAGAACGAAATGGTGCTTTTAGTGACATTTTGCATACAAATCCCCATCTAGTAGGGCGCAGTCACCCAGTTTCGGTGGAAGTGCGCGAGTTCGATTGGGATTCAAGTAGGAAGGGAGCGTCTCAGCTTTCTCGGACCAAGACCATTCGACTCAGCACCCCGAAGACTACAACTGGTGAAATTTTAATTTTTGCCTTAACTTCCCCTTTAAGTGGGTAGTTAAGTTATGAGGAGACCCTCAATGCATGCTCAATGCATGCTCAATTCATGCTCAATGCATTGTACATGGTCTTGTCAGGGTTGAAAAACTTCAAAAGGCCCAGGGAAACAAAAGAAAAACCGGGACATTGAACCATCAACAACATTCTATTGCACGTACATTATTCAGTCAGCCGCAATGGATGCCTCCGTGGCGACTACGGCGGTAGAGGACACGACAGGGGCATGGGCAGAAAACATGGATCGGCTACGACGCACGCACGTTACGCTTGCGCGTAGTAGCGCTATGCTGAGATGACACCGGATTACTGTCATGGTGAGGGAGTAGGGCTCACTGGTCTTCTCTGCTAGCAACGCAGCAATTCTCTTGTATAGAGCTGATGCACACTTGCTCATACCATTGCCTTTGGGTTATCCGTCATAATAATAATAATACCGTAAGAAAGGTTTGCTCCCCACACCGGAGCTCGCGCTATTCCGCCGAATAGCGCGAGCTCCGGTGTGGGGAGCAAACCTTTCTTACAAATCATCGCCGAAGTCGCAACCACTACTTCGTACTGTTGTGCCCAGCGCGGGCTTGCGACTAGTTGGTTTGGAGGTGACAGCGTTGCGAATGACCGAGGGTCCTCGACGTCCGTCTCACCGTCCAGGAGCGACACTGACTCACGCTACTATCTGGTGTTCACGAGGTGTTTGTCGCGCTGGAAGCGGAGCGTCTCTGTAAGTTTGTATCCCTGGTGATGTTTGTGCCTGGAGAGCACTATATAAGTGGTGCTCTTCAGGCACAATCTTCCTCAGCCTACTCAAGCTCCTTAATCTATCAAAGCAGGTTGGGCATCGCAAAAGGATAGTGCATGCAACGAATGTCACATCATGAACAAACCACATTGAATCTTAGCTAGGTGGGCTATGAGATCTTGGATTCTAGGAACTGGAGTAAACATGATAAGCCTAACTACCTTACTAACATATTCATTAGTGAATGCAATCATCAGCAGACACAGTGCAACAATTATGTGATTAGAAAACATTCGAATCAGATGGCCTTTGCGCTGTGTCTGCGGATGTGTGTTCACATTATTCTAAATTTCTAATCATTACTAACGTACTAATACGTAAGTAGAATTAATACTAGAATACCGGTAGAAACACTGACCACCTACCAACATCGGTACTTACATCTATGAGCTTGGAGCGAATCTCTTTGCCAGGAGTTTGACAGATATAATGGAACGGCTCCCGGATGATCTACGACAAGGAAACAGAACAGCCTCCCACGGGTTAATTTGGCGAGTGGCATCACAATGCAGCACTACACAAATGAACAGTCGCCTTGGAATCAAAAGTTTCAATACAGCAACTTGAAGGACAAATTGTGCTGTAAGCATCGTTTATTTGTCGACATGCATGGTGGTAATACGGAAAGGATTAGTTTAGAACAGGTTTCTTTCTTGTTACGATCCTCAGTGAACTACGTCCAGCGAGTGCGCAATTCTAAGGTCTACCACTCATGCAGCCTTTGGACAATACTTAAATAAAAAATCAATCAATCATTAGCCATCGAACGAAATTTTATCAAGGATGACGTAGCTCACTGCGGATACAGCACATTTCGTCCTTCTTGTTACCGTATACATTTGAAATTTTGACATTAGCAGAGCATTGAGATTCAGTCCTCACTCAGGGGAACAGAAATTACTGTAAAAGCCATTATTCTAACGAGGCGCATATATAACGATTTCCCAAAATTGACTAGCTTACGTGTACCAAAGGTAACGATTCTCACTCATTCTCAACGCTCAATAGGACAGTATATGTATCGATTTCTGTATACGATTTCTATTTTAACGACAGATTTCTCCTCGTTAACTCGTTAGAGTTAGCACTTCGTTATATATATGGCATTTACAGTACTTCACCGCCGAAGAGCTCTGCGCATCCTGCCTGCACGAACCTCGGGGAATTTGAAACCTACACTAACCTGACTAAGGTTGTGACTTCAAATCTCATAGCCATGTTTCACATGTTGCTGTAGCTTCAAACTGGGATACTCGGTCTGATATCTTGTGGCTTTTCCAATTTTTCCCTTGCATCACGAAATCAATTGAATAAAACCCCGTAGTTAGAGCACTCTGGCGCTAGAGCAACGAGTTATCTTATTGCCTGTCCTATATGGCCGAAACCGCTTGCTGTCTACAGCATTGGGAATATAAACTATAAAATTCCCATTTCAGCACCCCTCATTGTGTGCAGACAGGCAGTCCGAAGTGTACATTTTCAAGGCTGGAAAAAGAAACGCTGACCGGGGAAACCTGTTCAGATTTTTGTGGCCCTTTCTTTGGTACGCAGCTGGCCTTTATCCAAGTAGACACGGAGTGTGAGTCTGGATTGGAGTAAGCTATGTAGTCTGGGCCTTGTCTTCAGAGTTAGAGAGCTCAGCTCGGGACCCTCGCTATGCTTGCCCTTTGGGCTCCTGTTACTTGGCTCGTGCCGGCCCGTGACACACGCACACACATACATAGATGTTATAAAGCGATGAAGACCCTGGCTACTTGAAGTGCCAGACGCCAATACGTAACGTCTCCTGCATAGCTTCGGGAATAATCTTACTCCCCACATTGCCTGGTGTTCTTCTTGTGGATCTATCAGTAGAGTTATTCCACTGGTCTTGTACAGTGACACGTGTACGTGTGCATGTACATGTACTGCACTACTCACAAAGAGAGACCAATCAAACAAGGTTTTTTTAGACACCCTTAGAATGAATCCGGAAAGCGAAAGGAATTGACAGCCAAAGGCGATCACATAACGTGCTAACACACACGAGTACCCAAGGTGAATATTATTTTACTTTACATGAAAGAAGCCTTACTCGTTCGTGTTTCGTTTCGTTTTCTCCATCAGCCATAGCCACAATCAGGAAATGGGATCACGAACACGAAAGGCGAACTGATAGTGAGTATGGACGAGTTTTACAAGGTGAACACACTGAGTTATGAAGTGGGAAGCACAATCAGATGATAAAGCAACAACTAACTCCTACTTGGAAAGGGATGAAGATGAAGCTTGAAACGTAGTCACAACGCTTATGAAGGTGAGCACCCTGCTGATGTCAAACTACAGTAGTAAGTAAATAGTTACTTACTTCGCTTTTCAAAACACCTGACAACGCACACACTGATTCATTGAAATGTTGAACTCAGCAAATCTTCTTCACGTGATGCCAGCCAAGTGCTATCGCCATGGTTACTTGGGTCCAAAAGATCAGCTTCCTTCCTTGCGAAAAAAATTGTAAAGGCGGCCATTATCAATCGGTCTGCGCTTGCGTAGTCTTTCTTTTTGCCAACAGCCAAGATGTCGAAGAGAGGTTCGTTTCCCTCTGTCCTGGCTCAGCAATGGCGATTTGGATTGGAGAGAACTTAGATATGCATCTTTTTGATGTTTTTGTGATTTAGGAAGGGGAGGTTTGGGAGGAGCGAAGTTTCGCGTGTCCCTCGGTCTTCCGGTGGGGGCCGTGATCAACTGCGCCGACAACACTGGAGCCAAGAACCTTTACATTATCTCTGTGAAGGGAATCAAGGGTCGTCTGAACCGACTTCCCGCTGCTGCCGTTGGCGACATGGTCATGGCTACCTGCAAGAAGGGAAAGCCAGAACTCAGAAAGAAGGGTTAGTATCCTCAAATGTTGTGCGTCTCGAAAATTTGAAAATCCTGAATTAGAAGTACATGTAAAACACATTCAATGTGTTCTATAATATTTTGTAACATCAGTGTGTACTGGAGACGCACGCCTCATACAGCATAATGCACTACACGTACTAAACTCCCGTTTACTAACACCTAATGCATTTCCATGAGCATGAACACGCAGGCATGACCACCACATGCGTGTACACAACCTAACATTGCATTATCTTCCAATGAAAAATTGTTAGCAATTGTGGGGAATGAGACAACACGATGGTATGTACTGCTGCTAGTTTATATATAGCACTTAGTGTTAGAAATTTTGCGCAGTGATATACCTTTTTTGTCATGGGTTATTATCTAAGTATTATAAATGCCCGGCATGTGATGTGTTCCTTTTTCTAGTACTGCCAGCAGTCGTGATTCGGCAAAGAAAAGCGTACCGGCGAAAAAATGGAATAACGTTATACTTTGAAGGTACGTTGTAGATCTCACACATACTTCCACTGTGTATTTGCCTTGTACGTGAGCTCCAAGTTCCCTCCTCCATCCCATCTTTGTGGAGAATTCTGTACTGGGGTACATTTTTCTCTAGCCAGTATGTACTTTTGTTTATTTCCTGGTCAGTTTTAGCAGTTTATGATGAACCATGCTACCTCCGGCTTAACTTGCCCGGCCGGGTTCCTATATATTTTGCCTGTGCTTTCTTCCAATGTTACTGTATGTGCTGTGGGGTTTTTGTCTTGTTAAACGGGCCTGTGTCTTCCATGCGTTCTTTCTCTCCGTGCAGACAATGCGGGTGTGATAGTGAACAACAAAGGAGAAATGAAGGGTGAGCTGTCTTGGACTACATGGCTTTGACTTGTGATATATGTACTTGGTCCGCGTCAGCGATATTGTCGCTTATCTTTCAGCTTTGTTTATAATGTCGCCAATGCTCACTTGGCAGCCCATTTCACCCCAATTTTGGTTAGCAAGTTAGTTTACTAGTACCTGAAAGGTCTAGCTAGAGTTCGAGTGGATTTCGAGAGCGATGGGTGGGTGATTCTGATTGATATAGCGCCGCATCAAAATAGATTATCGTGTTACGCTGTGCAGGCAAGAGCAGCGCAAGCCACAAGAAAGTAATCGGCTACTCGGAATCGGCTCCATTTTGCTGAACGGCCGAGATCGCTCACCTCAGTGATCGCTCGTCAAGCTGAGATCGCAGCTCCCTTATCTTCAGCTCAATGCTCGGAGTATCCAGCGCGTCGTGGAGATTTGCAAGTACTGTACGCGTCGTCGTCGTCGTTCAAAATAAAATCTTGCAAAGAACGGCGTCTGATTTGAACCACAGAGGCTGTCGTGCTGCCCACGTGAAGTCCTATAGAGAAGGCGACCGTCACGATCGACTTCTCTTTAGAAAATTGCCAGGCAGCGGAGAGGAAGAGAGATGAGCTTGCAAAAGCAAGAGAGTCGATCCCGAGCAAAAATATTTGTCACCAGCGCCGAGGGCAGCGACGAGGAGGACCGAAAAAAGTAGGAACCCTTCCTTGGACAATAAATTCCTCATAGCTAGTTGTCATTCTATACCTTACCGTCCATCCTACCAAGTTTTATCACTTCAAGTACACGCGTTCATGTCCAAAGTCTAAGTTCAAAAGATAAGCGACAATATTGCTGACGCGGACCAAGTATTCCTTTTGCATTGTAGTATGCTGTCATGGGGGGATTTTTGATCACGTCCATTTCATGGTTCATTTAGTATGAAACGGCATGTTTCTCTCTACGTAGAGTATGATGCATTCCCGAATTTTTGCTGTAACAAATCCTCGTGAAGAGGCTGCACGCTCTTTGTTTTTATACTTGTGTTATTGGTGTTAGATGTGTTTTACTGAAAATAAGGTATAATTCAGTTTATGTGTTGTATTTTTCTGTTCAGGATCCGCGATCACTGGCCCCGTCGCCAAGGAGTGTGCTGATCTCTGGCCCCGTATTGCTTCTAACGCCCCCAGCGTTGCCTAATTCCTCTCTTGTTGGCAAAATAAATGCTTAAAAAGACATATCACTGTCTTTCTGGTTGGTGTGAGACGTAAAGGCGAACGGATGCACTCTGTAAGGTCATTTTGTTTATCGTGAGGCTGTCGAAATTCTCAGCGCACTTTGAAAGGGTTTGGATTGTTCCACTACCAAAGTATTGCAAAGTACAGCTTTCCCTGCACTATTACATCCCTTCAGAGTTGTTTGTGGTCATGGTGTGGTTTGGATCCACTATGTTGACTGTTTGTTCACTCTTGCCACTCGATCCATCTAAGACTATGGGCCGCATGTACCTGGTTTTACTATCCGCTTCCAACAAATGCTTTGGTGATTATCGTGGGTTTTTTAAGCAATGCACAAATGAAGTTGCATGGTCAGTCCAGCATTCAAATTTTATTCTTAGGGTGCCATCAAGTGGCGGATCTGGATTGAGTGTGACAGGCGGTGTGGTCCGAGCAACGGTGGCCCAATCAAACTAAGCAAGGGTGCGCACACACATATCGTACGATTTTATGAAAGTGTCAAAACCGTCCATTTCCACTCCCGGTGTGGTCAGTGTACCTACTCTGGATTTGGCCAAACAATCACCCTCACTGGGCGCACATTTGATTGGGATCCGCTAAATCGCTCATACCCTCGACTTGTATTGGCCTTGCGGATCTAGCTTACATCACGACGGGGAGTAAAGGGCGATTCACAATACAACTTTCTGCGCCGCGGCAGTTGCGACAAGAAACTGCCTGTCGCAGAAGTTGAAGAAAGTAGTTCAACTTTAGCGACGCGCGACAAACACAAATGGTGTACAATGTACAGTTTCTACCCTGTGTGCACGTGCAGTGCTCGTGTATAGTACTACCAAGAGTATATAACCCCCCAATTGCCAAGTGTGTGCAACTCTTGATACCCTTTCTATGGGGTACGCCGACGGCGAAAACTCACATCACGTGTTGCAGTGTCGCAGTTGTACGTTTCCAGCCCGTTTTTAGCGAGCAGCGGAGTACTAAAAAAAGCACTCTCTGACAGAAACTCACTGCACGTATGCAAATCCCCAGCATGATCACGGCAGATTTTCGGATTGCGCGCACGCTATCCTACGTTTGTACGTAGTACAAAGGTATCTGAGACACGTGATGTGAGTTTTCGCCGTCGGACACCCCATATGCAGAGTTGCACACTCTTGGGGGGGTATATACTCTTGGTATTACCAAGAGTACATTGATTATGTACTCTTGGTATTACCTACTACTGCATAAGGATGTCGCAAACATGAAAAAGATTGTGAACTGTGTGTCGCTGTCGCATGCTGCACTAATAATACCACAGCCGCAAACATGAAGCAAGTCAGTGTGCAACTTGGCACATACACCACTCCCTCTGCAATGAGTTTTGTTTTGGTCATGCTGCTTTTGAGCTTTCCCACACTCATACTCTAGCTGTGCGCCTGCCGAATGCTTACATCTTGTGCACCTAAATTTCATGCTTAGCAGTGGTAAACAATGAAATAAAATGATCACGTAGAGGCAGCATTGTAGCAAAAGTGGCAGAGAAAACCCAAAAGGACACAACAAATCAACAATGCACCAGAGAATATTCCGATAAACAAAAGTCCCTTTGGGGAAATGCGGACAGAAGTTCTAAATTTCGCTGTGGAAAAGGGGCAATAGTTATTATTCTCTGACAAATCTGTGGCACAAAGGTGCACAATGATGTATCAGCATGTGTTTAGCCAGGCCAGTCGATCCAAACTGCATAACTGAAACTAGCCAAACCAAGACCCGAGACGGATGCTCGCACCATTCCAGGGGCATGCGTAGTGCATGCCTTTGGGAACTGCACAACTCAGCACGGTTCATACCATGAAGTAGACTGATGGACCAAGATGCCTCCGTTATTATACTCCTGGTAGTACTTGTAGGGTTCTAGTCGATTTCCTGTAGGAACATACATGGCCTGGTTGTTGTTCGACTTGAAATCATAAACCAAACAAGGCCAATACAGAGTCAGTAGTGCAAAAAGGCCAAAATGCGCGAGCAAGAATGAATACCGGAATGGCGCTCAAGCCCCCCCCCCCCCCCCCCCCCAAGTACAAAAGTTCCATATCATGCAGTGTGACGAGGAGGATTTCGGCCACATTTTCAGTAACCGGTTGAAGTGAAGTTTTCATGGGGACAAGAAAGATATATATTTAAAATAACACTATAAGTATAAGTAAAGTGAGTCACATCATTGCATTGGTTGACGCTTATATATCCGAGAAAATGTGACCACAGCTGACTTGAGTGCCGTGCATTCATAGGGTTTGGTTCACTTATCGATGGTACATCAGCTCGGGACACTGGCAGGGAATAATTTAATTTCAATTTTTTGCATAGCAATTTTGCTACACAGAATCAAACTTGAATAGTAATTCGAAAATGTTGCGTAGCAATTTTTCTTCAACACTCAACAGTATTGCCCTTCTGCATAGCTGATCAGAGTGCAAGCTCAGACCACAAGTACACTGTAACACCTTAGTTGCAAACCTAACCGGGTGCCAGGATGCATAGATGCATATACAAGTTGTAGAGACACACCTGGCATGTACACTGTGCATCATAGGGTACAGTGGAAAATCAACATGCATCGCAGTTTCCTGCGCCACAATTCTGAAGTTGCTTCGCACATTAGAAGAATTGCGTAGCAAACTGCGATGCGATACCGGTTAAATTATTCCCTGACTGGTCACCATGGTCATAGCAGTAGGCCAGGGGGCGATTCTCCAAGCCTCTCTGATGCTAAACTATTCCGATGACAACCTCTCCATGTGCCATGTATGTATGTATATTTTGATTCGAATTCGCAAGTACACACGGGCCACAGGCCCATGGAAGGGAATGTGATAATGGGGTTAATCAAGAAAAAGGGTGGAGGAACTTGAAGGAGGAGGACGGTAGCAAAGCAACAGGGAGGATAATTCAGGAGCAAAATTAATTGCACAAATATGAGAGTACCTGACACTGAGGGTACATGTGGAGCGATAAAATGCTAAAGCAAACAGAAGAAAGGAAATCACAAGCCAATACGCACTAAACTGCACTTGAGTCATAATGAAGGGGGGGGGGGATCGGAGCTCAAGAAAATTATAACATATAAAGTCATAAGCAAACTTTTTCTGACAACGAGAGGGATTGTAACTACAGCCACAGCAGTAGCTGCTGTAGAAGCAGTAGCAGCAGCAGCAACAACAACAACAACAGCAGCAGCAGCAACAACAACAACAGCAGCAGCAGCAGCAGCAGCACCGTGCACACTACTCCAAGGAGTATGGGACTGCGAACATAGAAGACGGGAGAATTCACGGAGTTTGCAGATCTAGCCTGCCAGCGTGAAGGGCAGTGCGGCCACGGCGAATTCACTGGAATGGTTGAGTAGGCGAACTTCGCTGGGGAGGGTGTTCCAGAGGCGGGACCACAGTGCGATGGACGGGATGTCCCTGCTGCTGACCGGGCTAGCGGGAGGCGCAAACCCTGTCCTTGCTGGAGGCGGGTGGTGTTTCCAGGAGCACTTTGAAACTTGTCCTGGAGGTATGTGAAACATATTATCCATCCTGGCTTGCCGCAGTTATCACCATAGGACCACTGGTGCTTACAGTACTCAGTAGCCCTGGCCTTGGTGGGTATTGCCAGCAGAATTTGGTACTTTTCTGGTATGGTTCATGCATGTTTGGTATGTGGATAAAGTATCTGCTCTAGGATTCCAAACCACCTGGGTACACGTATACTTGGCACAACTCTTGCAACCGGGTCAGTCTCAGGTACATTCAAGTACGGCTAGTGTACATCAGGGAGTCCTAAGTCTAAGACAGGGTCACAACTGACCCAGTGCAGCCGCGGATCCAGCGATCTCTACAGAGGGTTCCAGTACAGGTGAAATCCTGATAATTCGAACCTCCAAATGCCAGCAAAAAACTTCTAATTATCCGGACATTCTAATTATCCAAACATGAACCCACAACACAATATGTATGTCAAAATGCTCCCATGGTCACGCAGAGTTGCGCTATGGACCTTAGACACAGATTTCACGGATACTGAACTGACCAGCACGAAATCGGTCCTGGAAAAACTTCTAATTAAAGGGGAAGTTAAGGCAAAAAATAAAATTTCACCAGTTGTAGTCTTCGGGGTGCTGAGTCGAATGGTCTTGGTCCGAGGAAGCTGAGACGCTCCCTTCCTACTTGAATCCCAATCGAACTCGCGCACTTCCACCGAAACTGGGTGACTGCGCCCTACTAGATGGGGATTTGTATGCAAAATGTCACTAAAAGCACCATTTCGTTCTTATAAAAGCACGGATGACCGCGATTGGCCCATATGTTGTAGTCTTTTGGACGCTGAGTCGACTGGTTTTGGTCCGAAAAGGCTGCGATGCAGCGTTCCTCCTTTATTCCCAATCGAACATGGTTGAACAAGCGGTCACGTGCTCCTGGGTGCCCAAATCACCTGGTCACCACGCCAGCAGGCGACAACTTTCACACCAAGGTTCAACTCGAGTGACAGGACTGCACCCAAAAAAGGTCAAACAGGCTAGTAAGTTGTACCCTGCAGGCACGGTGACCAGGTGACTGGCGTACGCAGGAGCACGTGACCGCTTGTTCAACCATGTTCGATTGGGAATAAAGGAGGAACGCTGCATCGCAGCCTTTTCGGACCAAAGCCAATCGACTCAGCGTCCAAAAGACTACAACATATGGGGGGGGGGGGGGTTATGGGCCGTTACACGCCCGATTGGTTGAGAGACTAACCTCCTCTCCCCTGACTCACTTGTGAGGTCTGCATTTGCCACTAAGGTTAACAGGCATAGTGGTGGCCTGCGGATGCGAAGGCTAGTTTGTGTGTTTCTGAACATTCAAGCGATGCCGACGCGGATCCCGCGAATATTATTATATGGGCCAATCGCGGTCATCCATGCTTTTATAAGAACGAAATGGCGCTTTTAGTGACATTTTGCATACAAATCCCCATCTAGTAGGGCGCAGTCACCC